ATATCTACATTTCTTCATTTGTTTAAAATCTATTCGAAGGATATTCCTTCTGAATCTGTTCAAGGTATCTCTTATGTTTCTCTCGTTGGAACCATTTTTTTTTAAATTGTCTTGTGCCATGATAAAGTTGGATTTTACTACTGAACACGTGGTCGAAACTAATGACTCACTTGGACTTGAGAAAAGTTGATGAAGAGAGGAAGGTGTGAACAGCTTCATGAACTTACAAAGACTGCATGTCTGTAACGTACATGGCTTATGATTGAGCATGTATTTTAGAAAAAGTAGATTTGATTTTTCGAACTAGTTAAAACTCCAATAAGTGCGTTGCGCAGTGCGCATACGATACTGCGCTTTGGCTTTTGGGCTCGCGCACGCTACAAAATTCAAATGAATTTTCACGTGCCAACAGTAATTACATGGCGTGGTTATAGCGATAAATAAATTTGAATGTCGATTCAAGCTGATATAGTGTGACATCCGAGTTAACGAATATCACATAGTTTATAATTTGGGTTCTTTTTTGACAGAAATGGAATTTCAATATTGAGTAAACCTTAATTAAAATTGTTAATCAAAAGTAAGCACTATTTAATAATAAACGTAAAGATTCCTTCTTAAACTGTGAACTGCTCGGTGTACCCTGACCAGCGCTTTCATTAAGTACATGTATGTGTACGTATGACTTCCCTTAAATTACTTTCTCGCCTCGGGCTCTGCTTGCGTGTAAAGGTTATGTACTGCCTAGTAGAGACGTGAAAAAGAATGCGAGGGGTAAAAAGGAGGACAAGAAAAAAGGACCTATCGAAAAAGATTTTTATACACAGAATAAGTTTTGAGAGACGCACTGGCGAGTGTCAAATCGAAGAGTATCAATAAAGCCTCACAACCGTATGGGATACTTATTGGAACTTTATTCAATAAGTACACTGGTAAAGTTCCTCTCCAGAAAATGTCAACTGGGAGATCGTTGATGAGCTACGCAACTTTATCCGTCAAGTTTGTCCTTTAATCAAACAATGATACGGTTGATTCCCGCTTCCAAATTTACAAGACGTTTTTCGTTCCCGATACGTCGAGCGTATTGACATAGAAAAAGAGCAAAAGCGCCAGATCCAAAAGGATAAACAAAATGTAAGCACCAAATCCAAGAGAGTAAGAAAAGTATTGAAAAATGTACCAGTAAATAAGACAAAATGAAATGAAAGTGTACCAAACAAACAATTAAGAAGATCCTCTCGTAGGAAAGAAAATTTGTAGTCTAAATAATTATTTTCTTAGTTATTGGGTTTTCAATGAGAGTCAATTATTAATTTTAATCGGTTTAGCCAAAGCTACTTATTTGTTCATGCTAGTTTCCATTGAGTATAATCATTTAATTTTAATATAATATGATTGAAAAAAGTTCTACCTACCCTATTTGATAGATTTAATCAAGCTTAATTCAAGGGTATAATTATTTATGTAGCTTACGCTTCAAAATCTCGAGATATTTTATCTCAAAGTATGACAGTTTTAATATTTGTCTTATGCAATGGCCACACTCGTGAGTTATTTATAAACAAAAGTTAATTTGTTAGGGTATCGAAGGATACAGGGTTTACAGAAGAAAACCCTCATTTTTCAGCCTGTGCATCGTAAAATAGCGCTTGACGTTGCAAAAAATCAAGATTTTTTTTTTTAAAGTTGAAGTGAAAAAAACGATGTTTTTGTTATGAATAAGCGGATGCCAGACTACGCAGTGCGTACAGCGCATACAAAATGTACAGCTTTAGGCTCACGATTGAAAAACTTAAACTGAAAAAGCCTCTTTGAGAATTTCAAAATGAAGAAGCTCGTAAAACTTTTTGGAGAAATATTCAGTAGGATTTTAAGAAAAATTGTTTGAAAATTTTAATTTTGGGCAGGAGTATGGAAATCCTCTTAGAAATAGAGTCAAGCGATGGGGCTTTTCGTTCTAAAATTACGAACAATTTTACTAAAAAAGCACAATTCCAAAGATCATATGGTCTATTTAATTCTAGTAAAATATTTTGAATAAATTACCAATAACTTACATCTGTTTTGGTTTCCGCTCGTTTTAAAAGTTTCAGTGCGAAAGCCGGTCGATCGAATTGAATGAGAGCTGCGGCATATTCTATGGCAAAATCAATCAGTTTCTCACTGCTACCTGAAAATTTGTTGATTTATCATTTAACATCGTAAAACTATTAGGACGCATTCAATTGAAAACCTACAATATTTTTCAATGGAGTCTACGTGATCATTGAGTCTTATGAATATACATTCGATCAAAGCCAAACACTGACAGTTTCTGTAGTCAATATGTTCGAAGTTTTTCAAATTGTTGTACTGCTTCAATGAACTGATTATTATGGGCAGCACCCCGTGATCAGAGCAGGAAAACTGGATCAGATTCTGATCGATTTTGGCTTTGTTATGGAGTAAAAATTATTAAAACTAATGCAAATGATTGAAATAATAAATACATGAATAAATATTAAATTCATATGGCATACGTTTGAAAAATTGGTCGTTTGAAACCCCTTCGTCTGGTGACTGAATGCTGTAATTCTGGTCAGACTTCTTCAATATAGATTTCCGACTCTTGTTCGCAGTAACCACATCGCTCTTTTTCATCGTAGACTCATTGATAATTTTAACAGATTTGTGCTACCAAAGCATATTTGAAACATTATATTCTGTGCCATTATTCATTTTACTGCTTTCTCTAAAAACTCACAAGCTTTTCTAAACCAGGTATCGTTAAAAATGGCTCTCCACCGCAAGCTTTGCACCTCTTCAATCGACTATTATTTATTTCAATTATCATTGTGTTGAGGTGTTTTTTGTCCTTTTCGTCGATGTGCTGAAGAACGGTACGCCGAAACAGGGACATTTTAAATTCCATTAACCGGCAGTAAGCGTAGGTCGGCAAGTTACTTTCCATCAGTGGAATGTCTAAAATAAATGTATGATTGGTGGATGATCACTTAAATTTATTACTGTTGACACTGGCACCGTCAAAAAAGGTAGTAAATAATAAAAAATAGTCGTGATAAAACATAATTGAGTATGGCACGCGAAATTCCTTACGTTGCAAGTGACATCGACATCGTGGCGAGTGAAGCATATCCGAGAAAGTAGTCGTCGATTTCAAATAGCAAAGAACGAGTTCGTCGGCCTCGCAGCAACGATTCGGCTGTGCGGTACATTTGAAAATTCGACTTTTCATCAAATTGTGTATACCTGCATAAATGCGTAATTGTTTTTTTCAAATTTTAACTGCTAATTATGAATGACAGTTTACCCGAAGCCGTTTTCAATGGATCGTGGCGAGGAACTATGGCTTCGAGGGTACTGCGGTAAAATATTTTGCCGATGAGTGCGGCGCACTTGACCAAATCTTGCTCGTACGCCGGGAGAGATAAAAAAATTTTCACGGCCAGAGCTTTATGAATAATAAAATTATTCGAGAGACAGTTCAAAAATTTTACGCGACTGACCTTGTAAATCGAAATTTTGAACGGATTCCGCAATGGTGAATCTTTCGTTCACGATGCAAACGACGACCTTGTCTCTTTCGCTCCAAGACAGTGGCGCCGCGGCTTCGTCCGGAAACAAATCCGCGTCGTACTTGGTCGTCAAAGTGGCATCCGGAAAATGTAACTTGCGCAGAGTCTCGTCGTTCGCTTTCTTGTGGGACAAGGCGCATCCCTTCGTTACGATCAAAAAAGTAGTCAACAGCTCGTACCATCCCGGCGGTCTGACTGTTATTTTTTGTATCAATCTAGAAAAATAACAATAATCCATTAGAAACTTTAATTTTTTTATCATTCTTTTAAATTTTATTAAAGAAAATGCAGGCGGTGAACTGTAATCTAGTCGACGTTTTATCCCGTGCTTATAGTAAGTGACGGTCCCGATACGCCCCAGCTGTAACATGTATATTAGACCGGGTCGTTTTTGCAAAAATTTTTTGTATCGCCTGGGCTCATGGCTGAGCTGAAAGTTCAAGGTTTCAGATGAAAAAAGCCGGGCTGCAGAAGTCAAAAAAGTGACCGGAACCGGTGTCGATAGGCTTTTGAAGTTTAAAAACGTGCTTCGGAAATTTAGCAAAATCGCTCTGAAAGTGGCAATCATATAATAGATTGCTAACATTGCTCAGAAGGTACAATTTATGTCGACAAGACGTTTTCTTACGTATTTTTGTGTGTAGAATCGAATTCCGTAGTCAGTTTTGACCTAGGAGGACGATTTCATTGAAAAAAATGAACTTTTTCGATATCTTTATTCTGCGCAAAAAACAAAAAATCGTCTTGTAAACGTTTAAAAATGAACAGAAAAAATTTAGAAAATTTTTTGACACTGCTAAAATTTAGGATTTTTTATGACAAATCCAATGGTATAAATTAGTATACACTTTGAAATTATTTTAATGCAGAAAAATACGTCTTTATCCCAAAAAACGACATTACGAAAAATTGAAAAATTGAAAAGTGTATTAGTTTATTTCAGGAAAAAGCTAAATAGAATCAACTGTGGAAAAAATTGCATGAAACTGTCTGATAGGTTTTTTTCTCACCTTTCCAATGCCGGTTTCAGAAGTTAAAAATTCGCAAGATTCGCTGAGATACGGCTATTTTTGTACGATGCATTTTTTTAGCTTAAATTCTACTTCGCTGGTTTTTGAATGAATAGAGCTGGCTGAGAATTAATGAATTTAAAGCTAAAAAAATGCATGGTACAAAAATAGCTGTATCTCAGCGAATCTTGCGAATTTTTAACTTCTGAAACCGGCGTTGGAAAGGTGAGAAAAAAACCTATCAGACAGTTTCATGCAATTTTTTCCATAGTTGATTCTACTNCACTGTGTTTACGGTAATATCAAAAAATTCAATATTGGCTCTTTTTGTAAAATCAGACCACTGCTTCAGTGCGCCGTTGTATTGTTTAAATGTCGATTTACTTAATGACGCCAGGATTATGTCGACTGCGGAATTTGTGATGTTCTTGTTTATAAATGCTTCCCGGATACAATGCACACCATTAAAGCCAGGTGTTGTGCTCTCGGGTGTTGTATAATTCTACAAGGAGACAATAAAAGATCTTTACTTGGGCCTATAATTATTATTTCAGTGATAGATAATTTTATGAAAAGTGGAAACCACGGTTGATTTTGCCAAAAGGGAGCTACTAGTATTCCGACAGCTTTATCTTTCTTTATTTTGGATAAGGTTTTTGCCAGTAAAGCGAAAGGGGGAAAGGCGTAGAAAAAGTGTTTGCTCCAATCAATGGTAAACGCGTCAACGCAGACTGCACCATTTTGAGGTTTCCACGAAACAAACTTCTCGCATTTTCGATTTTTATTAGAAGCAAAAAGATCTATTTGAGGCTTTCCGAATCTTTTAACGACTCTACTATAATACGCGTCGTTTAATTCCCATTCCGTGTCAATATTACCTATTCGAGACAAACGGTCTGCTATTGTGTTACATTCTGACGGTATATAAGATGCGAACAAAATAATACGCCTTTCCTCCGCCCATTGCCATATATCTCTAGACAGTTTACTAAGTTTATCAACTCGAATGCCCCCCATCTTGTTGACGTACGCCAAAGCGGTAGTGTTGTCTATTCTTAATAAAATTTGCGCATCTCGAATATTCGATGCTAAATTTATTAACGCGATTTTTACTGCTAGAAGCTCAAGATAATTTATGTGATACTTCTTTTCATCGGGTGACCAAATTCCATAAATTTTGCGTGTTCCATCAGTTGCGCCCCAGCCGTCAAGTGAAGCGTCAGTAAAAATCGTTAATTTGAACTCGTTGTTTTTTATGTAGTGTACATTATTCGGGATATTTTTTAACCACCACAAAAGGTCGGCTTTAACCGCGTCAGATAATATTATAGTCTTATCATAACAGAAATCATTAAAATATAATTGGAAGATTTTTTCTCTTTCCAAATTCTTAGTATAGAGCCAAGCATAATCAAGGGCTGGACAACATGAAACCAGTTTACCTATGAGATGAGCTAACTCTCGGATTTTGCACGATTGAGTGTTAAGGAATTTTTTAATAAGAATCTGCAAATTGTCTTTTTTGTACTCTGGGAGTTCAATACAATATCTTTTAGTATCAAAAATGAAACCTAAGTATTTCCCCTTTTGGGTAGGAATTTCGTTTGATTTTTCATTATGAATGATAAATCCCAATTCCGTAAGAAAAAATCTTGTCTTTTTCAAATTAGTTAAACACTCCTCGTAAGAATTCTCTATGCATAAAATATCGTCCAAGTAAATTACTGACGTGAAACCTTGCGCTCTTAACGATTTCATAACTACTTTCATGATTTTAGTAAACACAAGTGGGGAAGAACATAAACCGAATGGTAAACAGAGAAACTCAAAAATTTTGTCATCAAACTTGAAACGTACAAATTTTCGGCTGTTGGGGTGTAACGGTATCATAAAAAATGCGTCTTTTAAATCAATCGAGGCTAAGTAACTGTCCGGAAAAATTAATTGGATGGCAGTACGGAGATCCTCCATTTTAAAATGTTCTACTCTAACAAATTCATTCAAATATTTCAAGTTCAAAATAAAACGGTCGGAACCATCCGGTTTTTTAACTAAGAAATATGGGGATAATACCTGACCCACAGAGTATTCGCACTCTCTAATCGCGCCTTTTACTATTAACTTTTCAATCGCCGCGTTTAATGCGACTTTGTTTTCTGACTCAACGCGCGACTTATAAGTATGCATTGTTTCCGGAACAACAGTGTGAAACGGTATCTTATAGCCTAGAATTAAATTAAGAATGTAGCTATCATCCGTGATTTCCATCCATTTTTTATAAAAATATTTTAGTCTACCGCCTACATTTATTGGCTCGTTCGTTGGTTCGGACTGTACGGTGCTTGTCTGCCTCCGCGCCCTCGAGATGATCGACCCCTGTTGTTCACAAATTGTTGGCTGTTTCTGAAGAACAGCTGTTGTTTCGGACGTCCTCCGATAAATGTATTCCCCGCAACTCGACGTCCAACGTTCGGGGATTTCGTGTTTAAATTCTTAGAAGGTACCACTGGCTTGGCAAATTCTTGCCCTTCTTTTGACAGAGCTTTGGTTTCTTTAATTTTGGAAGACAGATCTTTCCCGTACAAAAATTCATCAATTTTTGTATTTTTCAAAATCTGTGCGCTGTCTTTAGCTAATCCAGGTTCTATAAACGCTTTCCGGTTTTTGGATTGCTTATTAATAATAAGGCACAGCAAATCTCCGGCTTCCTTCAGAGGCGACAGAACGTCCTCAATATCCATTCCTTCTGCTGCGTTGTTATAAATATTGGTCATAATCGAACCAATTATGGAGAGTCCTTGTGCAGCTGTTTTTTGAACGGCTAACATGTATTTGTCTCGCTTTTTAGCTGTCTCTTTCAAAATGCTGTCTAGCTGTGGGTTCAAGTCGGGTGGAGCCAGTTCCTCTAAGGTCTGATATTTTTCAATCAAGGCCTCTTCCTTTTCTTTTGACATGCCATCGCGACAGAGAAATTGCCATATCTTTAATAAATCTTTCTTTACGGAGAGTTTTTCACCTTTTGCAGAAGAAGGGTCCTCACCAATCTGCGAGCAGAAAAGGGGAACAATAAATTAGCGTCAGAGCGCATTGAAAAAATTTTTCAATTTTTAATTGCATAAGCACTATGTTTCTAGCCTCGTTTTGTCACGCGTACAAACACCGGCAGATTTCATAATAGGCAGCAGCACGTCTTGTCACGCATACAAGCACTAGCGCGATATACAACGGCTTGTCTTGCCACTCGTGCAAACACACCGTGCAGAAAGAACAGTAAACGTACATGAACGTATGCATATAAATACGAGCACGAAACTGCCTCGAGCGCCGCATACGCGCGAGCGTCCAATAACTGTGTAATTCCTAGAAACGCGTCGTCCATGCGCCACTGTTTCACAGCGCTATACGGAGGTCGGACAGTGATCCGCCATTATGCTCACCCGTCGAGCCACTAATGCATGATTTTATTAAAATAATTTTACTCACTATTTTATTCCAATTATCATCGTCGATAGTTTCGTCATCCTCCTCTTCGATAGTTTTTCCCTCGCTTTCGGTGCCCTCAGGAGACAACGGATCTCTGGGAGGCGGTGACTGCAGTACGCCATTGTTGGTGTTTGGCGAAGCATTTTCATCACCCAATGGAGATTTATTTCCGCCGTCCTCGTCCTTATTTAGGCCAGTCTTAACGTTTTCCACCTCAGCATTCAACTTTCTAACTTTCTTGAGGAGCCTTTCCAACCTCTCCTCAGGCTCTCTTTCTCTCTTCGATTTTTTGGGCATCTTACTTTACTTTTCTAGGTTAAACTCACTATACGTGTGCAGCGTGCACGCACGAAAAAGCAACTGAGGCGGAAGGGCGGCCGTACGCGGTGCGAGCGGTGTGGCGCCGCGCGCGGCCAAAAAATCTTACTTTCAGGTACTCTGAATTCGTGGTCAGCAAGCCGTACGGGGACGTCTACAATTGGTAATGTAGAAGAGCGAGGACGCAGTATAATTATTGATTATTGTAAACAGAAGACGATCGAAGTTATTATCGTGAAAAAATAGGTGTGTCGAGTGCGTGAGTGTGTAACGAAAATCTGAACATGGGCTACCTCGATGAAGTTAGTTCAGTCAAACTGAAGAACTTACGAAGAAAAGCTAATTTGGAAATTGAAAATGAGCGACGCGTACTTCGCGATCAATTTTATTCTTTGATCGAAGATTGGGACTATAGGGAGGACCAACTTCCAGTACTCCGAGACATTTTTTGGCCCGAAGAAATCCACTGGCTTCTCATGGAGGACGTGAGAAACGCCGAATATCCTCGCTTCGAAGTTTCCGTCGTTGACCTTGCGATTGCGGCTGGCTACAAAGACGATCCTCGCTTGAACTACGACGGCAAGCCCACGTCGCGTCGCATTACACCGATATATCTTGCGATCAGACGCAGGATCCGTAATGCCGTGATTTTCGAGCTTTTTGAAATATACGACAGATTCGATGTGAACTACACCGACGAGTTTGGATACACGCTTTTTCACGCGGCCTGCGAGATCGGTCTTGAGAACGCAGTCGAGAAATTTCTCGAGTTCGGCCAGGATCCTAACGTCGTCGCGACACAAACGGGCGATTCGCCGTTGCACTTGGCTCTGCCCTACTTTAACGAGAGGATGGTCGAATTGCTGCTACGAAACGGCGCCGATCCCAATCTGGCCAATGCACAGGGATTGACAGTTCTGCACTTTATTTGTCAGAGAAGATACAACGATGATTTAGCTGAGATGTTCTTCAAGATGTGCGATGAAAAACATCAGACGGTTCGGGTCGACGCACGGGACAAAAGGGGCCGGATGCCGCTGCACTACGCATTAGCCGACGGCTCTATAGATGGCATTGCCCGTGAACTGCTGAGGAGAAGCGCAGATTTAAATTCAGTCGACGCAGAGGGATCGACTCCTCTACACATTATTTGCATGAGAAAATACGACTACGACTCGGTGAAAATATTCTTCAAGATCGCCAAAAAATTCAATCAGCTGGTGCAGGTCGATGCCCGGGACTAGTTGGGTCGGACTCCGCTACAATTGGCTGTGGCAAATCTCAAGCTGGATACTATCGATGTACTCTTGGATCATGATGCTGATCTGTTTAGCTTCGTTTTTCCGGATGAGAGTTACTCTCGCGGAAGATTAGAAAATTCGTATTATAAATTGAAATTAGTGACTGGTACTCTAGCTGTCGCCCAACGTCTTGAAAAAAGACGATACGAATTGGACCTAAGCGACGCCCTGTCGATTATGAAAACATTCGCCAAGTACGGATTGATCCAGAAGTCGAGAGATGTCGACGAATGTTGCAACGACGACAAAAAATTAGTGAAAAGAGCAAAAAAGAGAATGATACGTCCGAGCCTGTCACTCAACGACCTGATCCAGCTACGACCCAAAGAAGCGGCGAAATTACTCACGTACGAGGACTACTTTGAGTGCTCGTATAAATTGAGGGATCTATCCGTGAGATTTCAAGAGACTTGTGCTTCGCATCTGTGCGAGAAACTATCGAGGAGATTCTGCCGGCGATGGGCGTCGGACTCGTTATGGCAGCTGATGCGCTACCGGGTGCCTATTCTCTGCTGCGAAATCATCATCGAGCCGCTAATCAATAAAGATTTGTATCATATTTGCTTGGCTGCGGCAGGCCCAAATTAATGACGGTGTTGATATATTTGCAACTTTTAATTCATGTCTTGTGTTTTTAAATTTTTTATATTTTTATGATTCAAATAAATAAATTAAAAAAATATCATTAATTGGCTTAAATCATAAAATCATAATAAGTTAAAAATATCAAACATCTGGACAGGAGAATATAGTGTATGTAATAACTATAATACTCTGAATTTTCAGTTCAAACATTTTTGTAACTCTCGAAAAAAAATTAATCGCGAATCCCATTGAATAATCAGTGTGCGAACTCTGAAGCTGAGCATCGAATTGTCATCCCCTAAAAATTTACCAAATAAAAGCCATATTGAATTTACTTGTATAATTCTTGAGAAAATCCGTGCACGTTCATAAATTGACAGACCAACGCAGGCAGGTATCGCGTTTCCAACTCCTCCAAGCGATGCCTGAACAGTCGCTCGTCATTGTAAGGAGCCAATTCGATTTGAGACACGTCGTTCGAGCGCTTCGGAACGAGTATCGCCATTACGAGTACGATGTTTTTGTCGTTCATGGCTCGCTTCAAAAATTCCCAAGACATCGGGTCCATGTTGTGCGCGTCGTCCAAGACGATGCACCTCTTCGAATCATGCTGTATATAGTATAGTGAAAAAGAATTACCCGATGTAAAGTTTATTTTTTGCATTATTTTTCAATTCGTATAATATAGACTCGAACCAGTTTGAGGATCCTCGTGAAGATGTCGATTCTCTTGCAGTGACGCTCGTTGTCCGAATCGGCGATGTAACGAGCGGAGAGTTTGAACCTTACGGTCAACATCTCGTTCAAATAGCAAAGCTCTTCGGATCGCAAAATCCGGCCGACGTTCTTGATGACGGTTCTTTCGAGCTCATCGATGGTTTTGCATTCCGTCGCTTCGAAAACCTAAGTTAACGTCAATACATGTCTCCAGGGTTAATATGTACACTTTTATTCATAAAAATATTTCACGTATATTGATAATAATTGTTAATCGAGGTACGAGAAATATATAGGAAAATACGGGAACAAGCGAAAGCTTGATGGGTGTTTTGCCTGTAGCTATTTTTTCATTCAAAACTTGTCTCTGGCTCTTGTTTTGACTTTGGGATTACTATTAATTACTATTTCTAGTAGTAAACGTGGCATTATACTCAAAACACCTCGTATAAAAAATTGAATTGAAAAGCCTCTTAAAATTAGCTTGAACAATTTTGAAGCGATTTAGTTGTGATAGACAAAAATAAGTGGCGAAACAAAACTTGAATTTAAAGCAAAGTAATGACCGATCGAGATTAATTCAAGTGGTTCAAAATTACTTACGTTTGTATAATTTATTTATTGATTTATTTATTTGAATTAAACATTACTTTTACATTATTAGATAACATTGGAAAAATCCATGATATAATTATAAATAAAAAATTTTTAATGAGTCTTTGAACGTTTAGATTAAATTCTTCAAGTTATGTATGTAATCGTTTTGTGCTTGAATTTCTTTCCGCGTGTATTGCATGTATATTGTATAAGTGATACCTTTGTGAAGTGCATGTACATGGCATTTGAGATTCAATATCTTTCAGCAAATATCACGTATACTTGTGGTACCGTTATGCACAGATGTAACGATCAATGTGGAGTATGGAATTTCAGATAATTTTTCGCTGAGAATGTTTTCCTGCATACGTAGAACGCGTATTTGATACCATTATGTACTGTAAACAGATGTGGAATTGGAGATAATCCTTTCTTATGAATTTTTCACACCAATTGCGTGTGAAATTGAGACTTCAATGTTTCGTATTGATGTGGGATTTGAGATGACTGTTCTGTGAAAATGATTTTCCACACTGATCGCTTATATTTTTGAGATTATTGTACATTGTATAGATGTGTATTTGAGATTGCTTCACTGAGAATTTCTTCCCACATACATTTCATGCACGTGTGGTACTTTTGTGCATCAAATTGATATGTTTTTTAAGATTTTTTTTATTCGACAATTGTTTTCCGCATAAGTCACATGTATGTTTAGTACCATAGTGAACCGAGTCGATGTGGTTTTTAAGATGATCCTTCCGTGTAAATTTTTTTCCGCATATGTCACATGCGTGAGTTATCTTATTATGCACTGCATCGATGTGGGTTTTAAGATGATATTTTTGTGAAAATAATTTGTTGCATACATCACATGCATGGGTGATCTTATTATGCGCCGTATCCATGTGGTTTTTGAGACTGAATCTTTGTGAAAATGACTTTATGCAAAAATCGCATTTATATACAAGACAGCTGTGCACTGTATCTTTGTGGGCTTTCAGAGAAGCTCTCTGAGAATATGTTTTGTTGCATACATCACATGCGTGAGTTATCTTATTGTGCACCGAATCCATGTGGGTTTTCAGATAAGCTTTCCATGAAAATGTTTTGTTGCATACATCACATGCATAAGTTATCTTATTATGCACCGAATCGATGTGGGTTTTCAGATAAGCTTTCCATGAAAATGTTTTGTTGCATACATCACATGCATAAGTTATCTTATTATGCACCGAATCGATGTGGGTTCTAAGTTTGGATCTTTGTAAAGATGACTTTCTGCATTTATCGCCTGTATGCTTGAGACCATTGTGCACTGCGTCGATGTGAACCTTAAGATTGGATCTTAGTGAAAATGTATTGCCGCGTGTATCACATGAGTGGGTGATACGATGATGTAACGATTTGACATGCCTACTCAGACTGCCCTTAGTTGAGAAATTCTTTTTACAAATTTCACAGGCATAGATTGTACGATTGTTCGTTGACCCATTGCGAGTTTTTAGATTATTTTCATTATTAAGCTTTTTAGTAATTCTATTTTTTTTATTTTTTTCGATAACTTCACAGTCGAAATTCATATTTGATTCTTCCGCTACATCACCGAAGAATTCCTGTTTCACTTTTGTCACGGGTTCTATTTTAATCGCGTTCTGACTTTTATAACCATTGTCGTCTTTTACATTACGCAAGAAATTTGGCGAATCGTAGTTAATCTTATGAACTGCTTTTAAATTCATGTTCGGCTTGACGTCTTCGCATTCAGCAACAATTTCCAATTCGTTATTAAGTTCACTTTTATGATTTACGTACCATTTTCGAGGGGTTTTGGGCTGCTGCAACATCAAAAATACGATTCCCATATAATTACAAAACGAGTGAGATATAAATATTTAACAAAACTTACTGAATTTTCTGGCGGAAATGATAAGAGTTGGAAGTTTTTCAGATCTGGTTTCTCGTCAATCATTTTCCTCGCATTCTCACTCAGCGGTTCATCGCTAGGCTCCTCTTTCACTCTGAAATAACCTCAATCATATCAAGTATTTTCTCACGATATTTTTATCATTAATTCATTCTCAATCGATGAAAATTACCTGGCAGCACAATTATGTACGTTACTGTGTTCCATCTTTGTTACTTGCAATTTTGTCAACACTTAATCTTTCCGAGACGATTTTATAAATTAATCAACTAACAACTAATTAAATAGAAAAAGACTGGTGAACTGCGCTGTATTTTGCTCACTTTTGTTTATGCACTGACCATGAGTACTAGGCTCTCCGCTCTACGTGCGATCGACTCAGTTGAAACTACAGCCTTTTGTGTCGCTATGGCACGCAGTACTGGACAACTCTAGTAAGGTCATGAATGCGTCGCTCGACGTAAACATCAGAATGAACAAAGCCTGTTTGCTAATTATTTTATGGAGCTAAATTTAATCATATTTGCAAATCAAATCATTAAATTTCAAAGTGTTTACGTAAAAGAAGCAAAATGGAGCTATTATGATTAATTAAATCAATGAACTAAAGACATTTTATATAAAACTTATATCTATATTTAATGAGTAAAAATTTTTCTCGATGATGTATGAAAAAATAAGAAATTAAAAAATGATTGTAATAATTACTGCAGTAAATTTTAAGAGCAGTTTTAAGTACATCTCTCAATTACTGCGATTACAGTAATTTTTTTCTGACATATTATGCTCAATTATGTAATAATTGGCGAATTCCATTATTTATATCTAGGTAATCATCAACTTTACGGAAAAATTTTATAGAATGAAAATTCCTAAAATAGTTTAGGATAACTTGTGAATTCAAAGGCATTGGGAATATTAATCGCCAAACTTAACTTTAAAAAAATACAGTTTGTTCTGATTGATCCCTTATGAATTTTTATTCGGTTTCATTTTTATATTGTTCGCGCATTTTCCCACCATTCTGAGACCTGCATCCCAGCGACCATCAATGTTCAGTACACACGTCACGTGACAAAAATTTCAATAGCAATTTTATCTTTGATTGTTGAGAATTTTTATATACAATTGCTCAAATACCTGAATCAAAATCTTGTTGATCGTATTGTGCGAGCAGGCGGCAAACGACGGATGAATCAGAAGTTTAACGACGTCGAATCGTTTGGCCCTTGCCAACGAGACGTAAGCGTCCAAAACGCGAGACTTTCCCATCGTACGATCGCCCTATTTTCAACATTTACTGCGTGATAATATTAAAATGATATGATTTGTTTCAGTCGTTTGCGATTCCGCTCACTTCAATGATAATACCGGAGTAGACTCGACCTTCCACGCCGACGTCGTCGAGAATATCGTCGAATTTTGCCAATACACGGCGTCTGCCCAGAATGCAGAAAGTCTTATCCTTTACTAGCTCCTTTTTTCTACAAGATAATTTCACGAGTCATGTTGGTAACGAGTTTATTAGAGAGCACCCCAAATCTTCGGTAAAAATGAAATTTTTTTCAACGTATTTTCCGAGACACTTCTTGTTCTCTTCAATGTTTTTTACTATGCATGCAATGATTCTACTTTTTTCCCCCGATTAACAGAACATTTTTAGAAAAAATTTCAATTTTACCCTAAAATGAGAGTTATTTTTCGCGTAAGTACTAACTTTTCTTCTCTGCTCAAAGAGTAAATGTAATTTTTTCCCAGATCTTTCAAGTTCTCCAATCTCTCGAACTTGAAGAGGCTCCTCTTGAGTCCACTGTAGAGCACAGAATTCAAATCGCATCCAATCTGTTGTTTATGTCTAATGCATTAAATTGAAATTTTCTATTTAACAAGAAATAAATATTACTAAAATATCAAGTAACCTTCGAGGATTCGTAAAAGTTCGGGACGATAATGGCGATTTCTCTGGCTTTAGCTAAAACTGGGCTCATGATTACGTAATGACGACGTCGCACGTGGCCAATGACTGTAAAATAAGCTAAATCTGTAAAAAAGATGTATTCTCTTAAAAAACTCATCTTCAATTACATGGAAATAATAATCCGCAGCCTAAATTTTTATAATTCCCGCAGTTACAGTATTTATAATTTTTACAAATGGGCTAAGCCATAGTTAGCTTGATGGCAAAAAATAAAAATTCGAAAAAATTTTGTACTTTTGAAGAGTCTATGAATCTACAGAGGCTTAAAGGTGAAATGTCTTTTTCCGATGATATTCTGCTTAACCCAAATACATACCCGTTGAAATGCCCATAGTGACTTGATCGACGCGATCTATGATGCTCATCGAGTCGACCATTTGCCAAGCGCACTCGATGGCGAAGCGGCAGTGATTGACGTTTTTCAGGTAGTTGCGAGCGCCGAATACGACGCGGTACGACAGGCCGTCGTCGTGCAGGCGCAGCCTCTCGATCCAAGCTGCTTGGCTGCAAATTCTGAGCAGGACGAAGGATGAAAAGCGATGAGTCGACTTTTTATTTCTGATTTCGAGTCGAGCATTCGAGTTTTATGGGTAACTCGAGTTTTTTTTTAATTGCTTCGTCAAGTTCATTCAGTAACGATTAGAAAGCGTTAGTCCATCGAAGTAGCGACTTCTGTGTCTCCATGTGTCGCGTATTGCCATAGGCACAGTCACGCCCACTTGGCTGGTATTACGCTTTCCAATCGTTACCTACTTGAACAGCTGTACATTGATTCATCATACATAGATCATTCGATCATATGTTTTTTACTCTCTAACGAAAATCTGAAGCTCCCCGTTAGGTTTGAAAATTTTACCTCAGAATGAGAGAATGACAATCGTTAGCGATCTCGATTATTTGCTTCAAGGTGCACATTTTTGTGGTCATTTTGATATAAATGACGGTGATACTTCTCCACTCAATTAAACTTTTCAACGAGCGATCCTCGTCTATCTTTAAAAAAGATACTTTTCATAATAATCATCAAAAATTTATCCATATTCACAAGACAGTTGTAATTACCCAAGTCAAAATGGATGGGATGATAAAATTTTTCAAACTTCGCGACGCTTCTGTCTTGCAATATTCCGTTTCGGTTATTGTGCCTTGATGAGAAAAAATGTTTAATTCGCAATTGTACGATTATTGGTATTAATTGTAACTTACATCCTAGAATATATCTGTCGTAGCCGACGCACTTGAGAAAACCCAGACACGGTTTCGTCGTTATTTCACTCGCACTGATCTCATCGATCAAAGGAACCTCTTGTATCTCCGAAAGTTCCTCGATTGTCAGTCTCCTCGACGTTGAACTTTTATTCGACTTTTCAAGTTTTCTTATTATCTTAAAAATTCGTGATAACTTTTTTAGTCAAATACCTCGTGCAAATGATACGAAATAATTAGAGACCTTTATGCAGTTTTGCGATTTAATTTCGTATTCGTAATCGCTGAGCTGACAATACTTCGAGATGCTCTCGTCGAGGATGAGGTAACCGGGTTCCGCGAGTTTTTTCGATCTTCTCAGTGCCGACATGACCTCACCGGTCATGATGTAGGAGCGAGGAGTTTCGCGACCGATCAATGCGATGTTTGCTGCACCTGCCGCCACTGTAGCTCTCACTGAAACTAGATCAATGAAAAGTTAAAAACGTACTTTAGGCAACATTTTTATATGTTTTGAGAAGTTGATTACTTGGCAATGCATTCGATAAATTTGCTTCCAAATGTTCAATCGATTCCTTAATAGTGAAAAAGCAGGAAATAATTTTCTTGATTACTGATTTCTTGCTTTCATCTTTATTTTCTTGCCACAAGACCAAAATACCACTGTCTATAAAGAAATACTCAAATTATACAGTAGCTCGTAAATCAGGATAAAATAATTTTTTGCAAGAAAAAATCACCAGTGAAATGAAAAACGTCCCCGTAATTCTGAGCTATCAATTCGATGATGACGCTCGTGTGGGAATTGATTATTTTTAAAGCCTCGGAGGCCGCGTGCTGGTTGTGCATGCGTAGCTTACTCAGTAAAGTGTGCCAATCTTCAAAAATAATAATTTTAAGAAATTAATATCACTTGCATATCATTTTTGCGAGCATGAAAAAAAAAAACAAGTAGAGAGCAAAACTATACCAGAAATATTCAGGAGCATCAATACAACGGAATCGTAGCTGCGATATTCCACTTCTTCGTTTAACAAACAAATCAGCATGTCGGGAACAAACGTGGCCATAATTCGCAAACATCTTATGTTATTTTCTTCGTACAATGCCTGAAATGTCATATAAAATTAATTTACGTATCATCTTCAAATACTATAAAAAAAACTCAGCGAATTCTCTAACCTGTCGGAAATTTATATTTGGATTTTTGAATATCGGCCCCAGTAATTCCGGCGATAGGATGTAGGTGTCGCTTGCGGCAATCATTTTACAATTTATCAAAGAAAAAACTTGAAAAATTCACGAATCGTTAATGAAGTACAAAAATGTGTGTGTATTAACGGGCTATGCTACGAGGATTTATGCCTCAAACTACTATGAATATAGCCATGTATCTAACAATTGTAGTTGTATGTGTAGCAGTGTTTTGGAATTAGTAACTTTAATCTAATCTTTTAACTGATTTATTTAATATGAATTTTCGATCAAGTAACAACACCTACAAGTACACTATACGACGTTTGATTCTGCAACAACCTCCAAAGTTGATTCCAGCGTAAGCAGGGAGATGGGAGGAGTAAATGCGCGCGCCGATCACTAGATCGGGTGTATTTATAATTCCAGTTGATAAAGTAGAATAAGAGATGAAAAGATGCTTATTGATAAGATGATGGCGCGAAGTAAAATGAAAAATGATAGATATGTCAATGTGAGTTTTCATTGACGGAGGAAAATGAATTGAATGAAATGAAAAAAGATTCTAAACTAAATAAATAAATTTACAGCATCAAGTTTCAAGAAAATATTATCGAATATAAGAAAATGGTCGATGATGTAAATATGCTAACCGTTCATTGCAAAAAATAAAAAATACTACATTTATTGCAAATACAAAGTTGTTAATTTATTAAGTGAACAAGAATTTAATAACAGCGGTGAAAACTAATTATTACCGATTAAGTGCATTAAAATTAGGAAAAAATGCTTCTTTTGTATAAATACGTACCACAACTTAATCAGTAATGAGTAATTTTCTTGGTCTTTACAAATGCGAGAAAGTGTGTACAATTTCGAAATTACAATAATTAAGCTACAAATGAAAAGTACATACACTGCCCGTCAATTACTTTTGCCATACCTGAGCGAAAAATGAGTAAACTTCAAAGTTTCGTAGCTCAGTCAAAAAAAGTCGGATTGACATTCTGAACCCGCTATTCAAAAGGTATTTACTAGCACTTTAAGGCTATATAAATTGTTATCAGGTTTTTTTGTTTATTCATCAATTTTTATTAACAATTAACGAATAAAAAATATTTCTTTTTTTTGCCTCCGCTATTTCTCTTGCCATTTTAGTTAGAAGGGTCGTAGAAACATTTTGAACCGATGGATTTGTAGGTTTTAACGAGACCTTTAAATCCTTTTTTTAAAAATTGTCCTACGAGCTTTTTTCACAAATATACAGCCCTTTTAGTGCAAAAACGACCCTTTTTTTCGTTTGCATGTACACCGCGTTCAAGGGGTCGTAGAAAAAAATTTTATATACAAAAAAGGTTGGTTTTTATGTGTACAATAAGAAGCAATAGTTATAATCCGTTTCTAAGAAAATTTTTTTTTTCGATTTTTTTATGCATGTTAACTCACCAAAGCTCAAAGTGACGAAATTTTTTGTTCGCGATCGATGTGATTTTTTTCCATGTTCAAGGCCTTGAAAAGACCTCAAGTAAATATAATTTTATGTAGAATTTAATGCCCTTTCAGAATCCGGGCTTAAATTTGACAGTTGATGCTTAGTTATAAAGTTATGGTTGTTTAAACAAAAAAAAAACAAAAAATTTTTGCGGAAAAAGCTTTTTTCTCGAATTCGAATTTTTTTTCGCACTTGTCACAAGTGTACTTTTTTTGTTTATTATGAATTGTGTGTCTATGTGTTATCAAGTCTGATTCTAATATGAATGCCTCCAGACAAATATCACAAACGTATTTTTTGTCGTACGAAATCATAATGTCGCGTACACGCGAGTTATCTTTCGAAACGAATTCCACCGATTTCTTCTTGCACTCATCCATTTTGATATCTCGAGTAATAAATAGATCTTTGCATTTAGTAAAATGTATCTAAGGCTTGTCTCACCGGGAAAGACAACATTCAAACTAATTTGTTTTTGCTATATGATCAGGGTGCCGAGGGACGATGTCAAAATCGTTTATGATATTATTGCTTACAATTAAATTACCGACTCATCTGTAATGACTTATACACACATTGTCTGTTCAATATTTGAATCAGTTCAAAGTTCAAACTTGTCTAACATTTCTTCGTGGAATTTTTTTAGTCTTATTCAATTAAGTACTTCAAAAAACTTCTTATAATATCGAGTCAATAGACCTATCAAATACATTACAAGTTATAAAAGAAACATCGACTTCCTTGCACAAGTCATCGCTGAATCAAAATATCGTCCTAGTGCATCGAGCGGTTATCATTCATTGTATGTTAGTATATAACATGATAAAAATTTCGACTTCCCTTAAGAAGATACACACTCATAGACACGTATACAATGTACTATACATACATGCAGTAATAAATATCAGATTTGACAACGTGCATAATAGTGCGTAGTCTCACGACGCATACGCATAGACATTCTATGTATTATCGTAAGCATAAGCGAGAGAGAGAAAAATATCGCAACGCAGTCAATCCCGTGAGCTAAACCGACTGCTGTTGCTTATGTTGTTTCGTTACCTCGTGTGTATACTTTTTTTTTTTTTTTTTTTTTTTTTATNCTCTCGGCGTTCAACGGAGCAGAGAGGCCGAGTCGCGCCAGCTCCGTCCACAAGGCGCGTCTCTGACGTTCGAACCTCCCGCAGTTCCAGAGGACGTGGTTCAGGCTCTCCTCCCCCGAGCCGCAAGCACATCCTGGGTCGGAAATGATGTTCTTCCTGTGCTCGTGTGTATACGTAAACACAGTCGTACGCGCGTCGAGTCTAGGCAGAGGGCAGCAGCAGAAAGCAGTTCTGTAGCTGGCGCGGCAGCCAATCACAGCGCGTAGCGCAAACCGACGCTGTATAGGCAGTTCTACTACCAAAGTTGCGCTCGCTCGGACGGACGGACGGACGCTCGGTTTTTACGGGTTTACCCCTGACACCAAACGCGAATATAGATGTTTCACATCAAAAACTTGAAAAAAAATACAGAAAGATTTTTATGTATCGACAAATTCCGTATAAAATAAATAAAGGAAAGGAGCGCTGAGAGATAATCGTGAGAGATTCTCGTCTCGTTGATTCATCGCTCATAATTTGTGTACGCGCGCGACTCGTTTGAAAACTCGTGACTTATGCAACCGATTCGATCAATCGCGGATAATACAATGTATATGTTGATATAAATTAAGATTTGACCTCTGCAGATGTCACTCTCCGGAGAATTGTAAATAAAGTTATGTTAGTATTAAGTTGCGCCGCTAGAGGGCGAGGTCGAAACCCGCAATCAAGAAAGATGAGTTGTAGGCTTATATAGAAGCCCATCGGACGAGTGAAATCGAACTCGCTCCGATTCGAAAAGGAGATTAAATAAAATTCGAGCTTTTGGATCCTAATAGATCAGTGTTGTTTATTCGGTGAGCAGTCCGCTACCCCTTCCCTCCCATACCACCTCTGCCTACAGCGCACCAAGCCGACAGACCGGAGCCGCCGCCGTCCGCCATCGCCTACCAGGAATACATCGCCGCCGCCGAGGAGCTACAGGCACACCAACGCTAGCCCGAACTACAGCAATGTTTATATACTATCGATTACTGCAATCGTAATTCGAGAGGAGTCGAAGGAGGATGAAAAGGATTTCAAATAAAAAAAGCATTGTTTCAATTGACAAAAATACTATTAAAATCAAAACATTGCTCTACAGAGCAAGAGCAATACATAAACTCTTCAAGGCATCGAGCAACTTTCTCCCACTCAATTTCGACGGCGGATGAAATTTTTCAGGAAGCTCAGACGTTCAAGAATGTCTACGCTTCGAGTGTGCATCCGATTGACGCAGTCTGGCCCTTTCTCGATAATCCGTCTAGTCAAGGTCGAGTATGACGCTCGAAGTTTGTTCCAAGTGGCCTTGGCTTCGTAGGGTGCTGCAACACAAATATAAATAGGGGAAAATTAGCGACACTGTGAGAGAGAGAGAGAGAGGCACAAGGAGAGATTCGATTTCGATTCGAATCGCTTTAAAAGTTGAACACTGCAAGGCAATATTTTTTTACAACGAGAAAAAGAGAGAGAGACAGAGAGAGAGAGAGAGAGAGAGAGAGAGAAAGCGAAAGAGAACAAAATAATATGCGCGACAAGATTAGAGTTATTGCAAAAAAAAAAATAAAAAATGGAATTACTCACCGTTCTCCTCCTTATCTCCCCGTGTTGCTCGATCAAAGTATCCTCCATCCGAATAAAGGCTGCCCGGTGAATGTGCACTTTCAAATTGCGGTTGTCCATTTGATTATAAAGTAATGGTTCGTCGTGAACCAGTCTAACAATTTCCACTTCAATGCGCGGCAAACCGAAGATCAGAACTGACCGCAGCAGCGCCACCGAGCGAAAACGAATGTGAGTTGTAGAACTCCGCAAATTTGACCGATAGCAGTAACAGCTGCAGCAGCAGCACAGGGGATTTCGGCCGCTGCGGAATCGTCTGCAAAGGCAGGCCGGCGCCGTTTGACGACAGCGAGACTCGAGAGCAGTGTTACGAATGTGAGATGTAGAGACGCTCATTAAATCTCTTTCAAAAGAGCAGCAACTTGTCTCTACATCTGCGTTAGATAAATTACCAGCATTCATTTAGCAGCAACGATTGTATCAGCGATACGTAAGGTAATTATTTTGCATCATTATTATTGTCCTAGGTTGGAATTTGTACAGTAAAATTTGAGCGATCTTGTGCACAAGGATTTGTGCTTTGTTGTATCAATGTCTGTATGAAAAATTGTATTAATTGCAGATCTCACCAAAACAATAATATCTCACTGTCTGAGTGATTTTGGCGATTACGTCCCATGAGAATATGTATTACAAGGACAATAAATTTGATGTGGGATCTAAACTTTGGATTATAGCAACAACAACAACAAACGATGCAAAAGCGATCCATTAAATTGCACGATGCACGAGCAAGACCATTAAAAAAAACCAAAAGCTTCCTGTTGTCATGACATCTTGAACTCACTTAGTTCAAGTACTAGCATACATTCTGGGCTGAAAAGGAAAGCCAGTAA